GACCAAAAAGATTTTATTGTTAGTCTAATTAGAACAGGTGTCACTGAATATTCATGATTATGCATGTGCTGTAGCCTAGCAACCGACGTCATTTCCTGTTTAGTAAAATTCGACAGCACCTTGCTCTGTAAGGTTTCGAAATTTGTTAGTATGTGAATATATTTAGAAAGAGTGTTTATAAGATATAGTAGCCTGTAATACTGCTATATTCGAATTCGTGATTGTAATATATTTAATTCGATTATATACTGATTAATAATCATGAAATATATATATATTATTAACGCAATTACGACAAAAAGAAGTGCACAAAATGATGTATTATAAATTAAACTCCAGTTTACTTTTATTTCTTACATACTCGGAAATATATACCAGAAATATATAAACGTAATATAAATAGAATATAAGTATTCTAGCTTTATATAATACAATATAATATAATAATGCTTAGGCCCAATTATATTAAAGTATGTAATATCGTTCGAGAATTACTTGTTCGTTTTATAAGAAACATATGGCAAATTTGATTTAATTCCGGTGATCCAGTGATATAAATCATAATAAATATCCGCGCACGATTATTTGTAAAATTAAGACCTCATCAATCCGGTTATTGATAGCATCTTGTGTTCCGGCACATTGTTGTTCCGCTGACAATGATTGTACATCGACTTCGCACTTATTGATGTATTGGGAGATTTGACCTGAGACACTGAAATAAAAGAGATTGAACTATTGAGAAATACATTCAAACTATTTTCATTTTGGCATCTGTGTTAAGTTAGGCCTAATTAAGTATAAATCTCATTAGATTAAAAACACTCTTTTTTTATACCTTCATGAGGTATAGGAATACAAGTTCAGAAAACAAAATTGATTGTTTGATTGATTTAATACATTGTGTAAAGTTTGCATGTTATAATAAAGCGTTATTTTAATATGAGTGGGTGAGCATGCTCCCCACCCCAAATCGACAAGGTCCAAATTTTTAAAACAGTCGAAAATGTACTGAATACACATTTTTTTACATTTTTTTTTGTAATATTAAATCTTAACATTTTAATCAATACTCTATTGGACCCCTGTATCGTCCTATAATAACAAAGCTGCGGTTCAACCTGCTTTCCCCCCTATTAACGGCACATAGAGTTTTAGGTGACCCCTCCGCATTTGGTATGATCATTACATCTTATGTTCCTATCTGAGCACTGTTATTATTTATCTATTTATTTATATAGCATTTCGAAGTACGGTTTAGATTTTCCCTACATCCTATCCCGATTTATATACATACATACATACATATACATATGTATATGTGTATACATATATATATATATATGTACTGTCTCTTATACACAT